CCGCTGCGGCCGGCGCACTGCCCTGATCCAATGGCAGGAGCCAGGTACTTCTCCTGGTCTCCCATGGGGTGCAGGGCCCAAGCACTTGGGCCGTCCTCCACTGCCCTCCCTGGCCACAGCAGAGAGCTGGCCTGGAAGAGGGGCAACCGGGACAGAATCCGGCGCCCCAACCGGGACTAGAACCCAGTGTGCCGGCGCCGCAAGGCGGAGGATTAGCCTAGTGAACCGCAGTGCCGGCCTCATTTCTTCTTATTTTATTTAAAGATTTATTTCTCTATTTGAGGGGCAGAGTTATAGACAGAGAGAGGGAGAGACAAAGAGAGATCTTCCATCCACTGGTTCACTCCCCAAATGGTTACAATGGCCAAGGCTGGGCCAAGAGGAAGCCAGGAGCCAGGAGCTTCCTCGGGGACTCCCACATGGGTGCAGTGCTGTTCCCTTATTTATTTTTAAATATTTATTTATAAATAAATTCCAAGAAGTATGATTGTTTGATCATATGTTTTTTAATAATTTTTTAAAGATTTATTTATTTATTTGAAAGTCAGAGTTACACAGAGAGGAGAGGCAGAGAGAGAGAGAGAGGTCCTCCATCCACTGGTTCACTCCCCAGTTGGCCGTAACGGCCAGAGCTTCAGTGATCCAAAGGCAGGAGCCAGGAGCTTCTTCTGGGTCTCCCACGTGGGGGCAGGGGCCCAAGGACTTGGGCCATCTTCTACTGCTTTCCCAGGCCATAGCAGAGAGCTGGATCAGAAGTAAAGCAGCCAGGGCCGGTGCTGCAGCTCACTAGGCTAATCCTCTGCCTGCGGTGCTGGCACCCTGGGTTCTAGTCCCAGTCGGGGTTCCAGATTTTGTCCTGGTTGCTCCTCTTCCAGTCTAGCTCTCTGCTGTGACCCGGGAGTACAGTGGAGGATGGCCCAAGTCTTTGGGCCCTGCACCTGATGGGAAACCAGGAGAAGCACCTGGCTCCTAGCTTCGGATCAGCGCGGTGCGCCGCCTGCAGCACGCAGGCCACAGCGGCCACTGCGGGGTGGACCAATGGAAAAAGGAAGACCCTTCTCTCTGTCTCTCTCACACTGTCAAAAAAAAAAAAAAAAAAAAAGAAGAAGAAGAAGTAGTAGAAGAAGAAGAAGAAGAAGTAGTAGAAGTAGTAATAGTAGTAGTAAAGCAGCCAGGACTTGAGACGGCACCCATATGGGAGGTCCGCTCTGCTTTACCTGCTACACCAGGGCACCAGCCCCTGATCATATGTTAAGAGCATGTTTCTAGGGGCCGGCACTGCGGTGTAGTGGGTAAAGCTGCCACCTGCAGCACCAGTGTTCCATATGGGCACAGGTTCAAGTCCTGGCTGCTCTACTTCCAATCCAGCTCCCTGCTAATGTACTTGGGAAAGCACCAGAGGATGGCCAAGTGCTTGGGCCTTTGCACCCACCTGGGAGACCTGGAAGAAGCTCCTGACTCCTGGCTTAGGATGGGTCCAGCTCTGGCCAGTGAGGCCCTCTGGAGAATGAACCAGTGGATGAAGATCTCTCTCTCTCTCTCTCTACCCTTCTTCTGCCTCTCTGTAATTCTGCCTTTCAAATATATAAATAAATCTTTAAAAACCAAAGAAGAAAAAAACCCCACATTTCTAAAAGGAAAAAGATAGGAGCCAGAAGTTGTGACATACTGGGTTAAGCCACCACTTACAACACCAGCATCCCATATCAGAGCGCTGCTTGGAGTTCTGTCTGCTCTGCTTCCTGGTAATGCATCTGGGAAGGCAGAAAATGATGGCTCTGGTACTTGGGTTCCTACCACTCATGTGAGAGACCCACATGGAGCTCCTAGCTCTTGGCTGTTGTGGCCATTTGGGGAGTAAACCAGTGAATGGAAGAGCACTCTCTTTCTCTCTTTGTAAACATAAAATGGCATTATTGGCAAGGGGCAGGAATTGAATCAAATAGGCCAAGTCCCATGTCATCGTCTGACTCATCAGACACCTCCTTCTTGTCTTTCTTCTCTGCTGCAGCTGGGGTAGAGCCAGCAGCAGGAGCCGCGAGTCAGGGGCTGCAGAGAGCCATAGCCCCACTGGCAGGCACCCTGGCAAGCATGCAAAACCCTGGGCAATGACATCTCCAGTGCTGTTTCTGTTCAGCTCACTGACGACTTTGTTCAGCCGGTCATCATCCACCTCGGTGCCCACACTGCCCAGGGTCTTCTTGACATCCTTGGTGCTGGGCCAGGCATTGCTCCCGAGGGCGGCCAGCAGGTAGGAGGAGGTATAGCATGTTGATGGCAATGAGTAGGCCTCACGTGTGTGACCTCAGCAGCTCCATGGAGGGAAGGCTCTAATAAATAAATCTTAGTAAAAACAAAAATCATGCACGCATAAAAGATGCAAAACATACCAATTACTTAGTATGTAATAGAGACAAATTTATAGATAAGGTTTCAGATTCCACATTTCAATTAATGTTTAAAAAGCTACTTTTGGCCTGCGCCCCGGCTCACTAGGCTAATCCTCCGCCTAGCGGCGCCGGCACACCGGGTTCTAGTCCTGGTCGGGGTGCCGGATTCTGTCCCGGTTGCCCCTCTTCCAGGCCAGCTCTCTGCTGTGGCCAGGGAGTGCAGTGGAGGATGGCCCAAGTGCTTGGGTCCTGCACCCCATGGGAGACCAGGAGAAGCACCTGGCTCCTGCTTTCGGATCAGCACTGTGCGCCGGCCGCGGCGGCCATTGGAGGGTGAACCAACGGCAAAGGAAGCCCTTTCTCTCTGTCTCTCTCTCTCACTGTCCACTCTGCCTGTCAAAAAAAAAAAAAAAAAAAGCTACTCTTGTGGGACTGGCTCCGTGGTACCATGGATTAAAGTAACACCTGCGGTACCTGGCAGCTCATACTGGAATGCAGGTGTGTGTCCTGACTGCTCTGCTTCCAATTCAGCTTCCTGCAAATGCACCTGGGAATGCATTAAGTACTTTAGCCCCTGCCACCCAAGTGGGAGACCCGTGTGTGGTTCCTGGCCTCTGGCTTTGGCCTGGCCCACAGCAGGCTATTGTGGCCGTGTGGAGAGTAAACCAGTAGAGGGAAGATCTCCCTCTAGCTCTGTCTCTCCTTCTCTCTCTGTTGCCCTATCTTTCAAATAATAATAAAAAAAAAATTTAAAGCTTGTAAGTAGGGCTGGTGCTTGGTGTAGCTGGTAAAGCCACTGTCTGCAGTACTGGCATCCCATATGGGTACCAGCTCTATTCTGGCAGCTCCTCTTCTGATCCAGCTCTCTGCTATGGCCTGGGAAAGCAGTAGAAGATGGCCCAAGCACTTGGGCCCCTGCACCCATGTGGGAAGACCCGGAAGAAGCTCTTGGCTCCTGGCTTTGGATCGGCTCAACGCGCACCATTGTGGCCATCTGGGGAGTGAACCAGTGGGTAGAAGACTCTCTCTGCCTCTGCCTCTTGAAACTCTGCCTTTTAAATAAATAATCTTTTTAAAAATGCTTGTAAGTTTAGATATGGTATCAAGAATATCCAAAAGGCTATTAAAATGCTTTTCCCTTTCCAACTAAATATCTGTGAGGCCGTATTTCCTTCATACTCTTCAATCAACATTTCACAACAGATACAATGCAGAAGCAAAAATGAGACTCCAGCTATCTTCAACAAAGCCAGATGTTAAACAGATTTGTATATAAAACGAACCTATTCTTGTGAAAAATACTTGTATCTCATAAAATGTTATATAAACATGTAATGGGTTTACTATACATTAAACGAGTCAATCCAATTTTTAAAAAACTATTTATTTATTTGAGAGTTACAGAAAGAGAATCTTTCATTCACTGGTTCACTCTACAGATGACCTCAATAAGCCAGGAGCTTCATCTGGGTCTTCCATGTGAGTGTGGAGGCCCGGGATCTTGGGCTATCCTCTCCTACTTCTCCCAGGCCTTAGTAGGGAGCTAGCCTGGAAGTGGAGCAGCCGGGACTCGAACCTGTGTGGATCGCAGGCAGGGGCTTTAGCCACCATGCCACAATGCCGGCCTCAAGTCAATCCATCTTTTAAAGTCTCTCCACTTAAAAGCTTCTAATATGGTAAGTATCAGAACATATAACCTAGGCCGGCACCACGGCTCAATAGGCTAATCCTCCACCTAGCGGTGCCGGCACACCGGGTTCTAGTCCCGGTCAGGGCACCGGATTCTGTCCCGGTTGCCCCTCTTCCAGGCCAGCTCTCTGCTGTGGCCAGGGAATGCAGCGGAGGATGGCCCAAGTGCTTGGGTCCTGCACCCCATGGGAGACCAGGAGAAGCACCTGGCTCCTGCCATTGGATCAGCCAGCCGTGGCGGCCATTGGAGGGTGAACCAATGGCAAAAGGAAGACCTTTCTCTCTGTCTCTCTCTCTCACTATCCACTCTGCCTGTCAAAAAAATATATATATAATCCATCAACAAAGCTGTTTAGGGCCCTCTATAATTTATAACAGTGTTTACACTTTTAAGAACCTCGAGACCAAAGAAGTTGAGAACCGCTGCCCTGGGATGCTTTCCTCTCCTTTTTCTGGCTAATCCCAGTGGAGAGAAGTCCTAGAATTCTGTCCAGGACTCCTAAGCACCCGGGGCCCAGGCACCACACTATTCACTGCCCTTGTTTTACTGCTCCTTCTTATTTCTCGGGTTCTCTGCACCCACAGGATGAGGCCATGACTAAAAGGATTCTTGCTTTCACCTGAGTCCTCAACTCTATCTATGGTCAACCTTTCTTTGTGCCTGACTACTCACGCCAGGGAGCACTGTGAGGCCTAAAGGGGTCGGGAAAGGACCCAAGGAAACCGAGGAGCTAAAGTTTCCTTAGGGCTGAAAGACCAGCAAGGCCTCAGGTAGGCCTTAGGAAGTGACACAGGCTGTGCATGGGCCCTAGCAGGTCTACCGGCCACAGCGTCACACCATCCTTCTACTTAGGCCCCGCCCTAGGCTCCTCGCTCCGCCCCCTGACGCCCCGCCCGTCGGGGCCTTTCACGACAGTGTCAGCGCTTTCCGGCCGGCCACGCTGGTGTTTACGTGTCGGGGGCGGGGGTAGAGCCTATGGGAGCGAACTTTCGCAGCACCTCCTGCTCGTGTGCTGCTGCTGTGGCCCGCCTGCTTCAGTGGAGCCATGGCTGTTCGTGTCCGGTCCGCTCGGCCCCCGCCGGGCTCAGGTCGGCCTTGGGCCTAGCCTTGCGTCAGAGGGAGAAGGGCACTTGTCCCAGAGGGGAAGGGGCGGGAGGACGCCCCGTGGGACCTGGGGACGGGGGGTTTTGGTGGGGAAGGGACGTGTTGAGCGATCGCGGTCTGCAGCTTCAGGTGATGATGCCAATGGGCGCACGTTGCAGCGAGGAGGCTGTGGCCCGAGGGGTTCTGGGACGTTGGCGGAGCCTGCAGGAGGGGCTGCACTACACGTAGGGATGTTTGCAGCAGTCAGAGATGAGTGGGAGAAGCCAGGTGGGCAGAAGCGCTGAGGCTATTGAGGTGGTGATTTGTCCCCCTTACTGGTTGCAGATAAAGTACAGAAAGACAAGGCTGGCCAGACTTCAGGGCCCAGGCAGGACAGCCGAATGAAGAAACTCTTGGGTTTCGAGTGGACGGATTTATCCAGCTGGCAGAGGCTGGTTACCCTGCTTAATCGACCAACAGACCCCGCAAGCTTGGCTGTCTTTCGTTTTCTCTTTGGTGAGTCGATTTTCCGGGTGCGGGTCGTTTAGTTGGGGGTGGGAAAATGACAGTCACCCATTTCGGGGTTCCTTAGTGGAAGAGGTGTTTGTCAAGGTTAGCATCAAATCCTCCCTTATCTCCTGCACTTGGGGCTTAGTGGCCAGAAATACTTTGATCTGAGCCCTTACAAAACTCAGAAGCAGAGGAACAGGGTCCCATTTGCTTGTGGTCTGAAGTGTGTTAAGGACTTCAGTGAAACCGAGCGTGGATAACAAGGCGCAAACATTTTCGCTGGGGCTCCCTGATCCAGACCTTCCTGACTCACGGGCCATGAAGCACTTGTTCTTGGAGTGGGTCACAGGTGTGCCAAAATACGAATTTTTTTCCCTCCTTAGCCGGATAGCTCTTACCTGTGGGGCAGTCCCTCTCTGGTGGGGGGAGGAGGTGACTGCTGGAGTCTGTGTAGAAGCCAGCACACTTCTAGATGTCATGGCAGATGATTAACCAGCCCCACATAGGACTGATCCTGAGGTTGAGAAACCCTGCCTTACCCAAGCGCTCTCCCTGATCCCAGTAGCCCCTAAGGTTCATCCCAGCTGTGTGGCCCAAATCCCACTATTTTCTAGGGGTGCTAAGAAGAAGGGAAAAAAAAAAAAAAAAAAAAAAGGTTGAGACTGACCTCAGAGCACTTGTGCAGCCCTCTAGGGTGGATCTTTATAAAAGTGAAACATTTTGAATGTTTTTCTCCTTTAATCCTTCCTACAACCTGGTGAAGTTTTATGACCTTCCTTTTGTTGTACCTGAGTGAGGGCAAACAGAGGAGCACCATACACTGATAAAATTTGATGGTCCTTTATTGCAGCCCACTGAAAGTGGGCTCATGCCCTAAAGAACTCTTGAGTTTTTATAAAGGCAAAAAAACACAAAATTGGGAGTGGATACATGGTTACCCGGGTCAAGCTAACCTAAAACCTATGTGAAACTAATATTAATTATAATCTTAATACCAGTTACAATCTAACAGTTTGAATTATAATCTTTTTTTTTTTTTTTTTTTTGACAGGCAGAGTTAGACAGTGAGAGAGAGAGAAAGGTCTTCCTTTTTCCGTTGGTTACCCCCAAGTGGCCGCTACGGCTGGCGCACTGCGCCGATCCGAAGCCAGGAGCCAGGTGCTTCCTCCTGGTCTCCCAGGCGGGTGCAGGGCCCAAGGACCTGGGCCATCCTCCACTGCCTTCCCGGGCCACAGCAGAGAGCTGGACTGGAAGAGGAGAGATCGGGACAGAATCTGGCGCCCCGACCGGGACTAGAACCTGGGGTGCCGATGCCGCAGGCGGAGGATTAGCCTAGTGAGCCATGGCGCCGGCCTGAATTATAATCTTGACATTAATCCAGGTATTGGCTTAAATCATATGTAGGACATAGACAAATTAGATTTTTATCATTAACCCAGGTACAGCTTATCTGCTTCCAAGCTTGAGCCATCATGCTAGGGGTTTTCTATGCTTTGACAAGTGTGATGTGGTGGACTGCTATTGTCTGACTTTTAGATCATAGTTTCAGACCAGGGTCTCACAGCGGGGGGAGGGAGGCCAGAGGGGAGTGGGGTGCTTTCTCAGGATGGAATCTGAGTTACTCCAAAATGGAGTCCCTACTGTCAAGGTGTTACTTCACTTTCCACAAATGGGGAGTTGGGTCAGTGACCCTCAGGGGTCATCTGAGCTCACACAGTTGACAGTGCTTAGCACAGAATAGGCACTCAGTAATTGTTGAATAAATGGCAGAGCCAAGGTTAGAAAAACAGTGCAGTGCACTACTGTGTACCACTGGTTCTGCTTCCTTCTGAGGCTTCGCGGTCCCTCTCCTGTTGCCTTCTCAGGGCTCTTGATGATGCTGGACATTCCGCAGGAGCGGGGCCTCAGCTCCCTGGACCGGAGATACCTGGATGGGCTGGATGTGTGCCGCTTCCCCTTGCTGGACGCCCTGCGCCCGCTGCCCCTTGACTGGATGTATTTGGTCTACACCATCATGTTTCTGGGTGAGGGGAACTGTGGCAGAGATGAGGGGACTGAGCATCAGGAATGCAGGCCTAGCATGCTGGGAATGACAGAGGTCTTGGGTGCCGCCTCCCCTTCTGGTGCGGTTCAGTCACACCACTGACCTGTGTCACCTGAGCTGTGGCCCCATAACTCTTCTTTGTAAAGTGTTCAGATAACATTTAGTTTTCATCCAATGTCACCTGATCATAAAATGCCTCAAGAGTTTGCTTAACCCTCACCACACCCTGTCCCGGGGAGGCTGGGCCTGTGGTGACCCCTTGACCTCTTCATCCTCTCCCCACAATCCCAGGGGCACTGGGCATGCTGCTGGGCCTGTGCTACCGGATAAGCTGTGTGTTATTCCTGCTGCCGTACTGGTATGTGTTTCTCCTGGACAAGACATCGTGGAACAACCATTCCTATCTGTATGGCTTGTTGGCCTTTCAGCTGACGTTCATGGACGCAAACCGCTACTGGTATGAGTCTGGGGGACATAGGGGAGGGGTGGCTGGATCCGGATGGTTCCCAGACTTGAGGGGCTAGTGAAGAAGTCCTAGCATTTGCTTCTGTAAGCATATTGTCTTTAGTTTTTTAAATATTTATTTATTTATTTGAAAGGCAGAGTTAAAAAGAAGCAGAGGTAGAGAGGTCTTCCATCCGCTGGTTCATTCCCCAGATGGCTGCAATGGCCAGAGTTACACCATTCCAAAGCAAGGAGCCAGGAACTTCTTTTGGGTCTCCCATGGAGGTGCAGGGGCCCAAGCACTTGGGCCATCTTCTACTGCTTTCCCAGGCCATAGTAGAGAGCTGGATTGGAAGTGGAGCAGCTGGGACTTAAACCGGCACCCAAATTGGATACTGGCATTACAGGCAGTGGCTTTACCCTCTAAGCCACAGCCCTAGCCCTTATAAGCTTATTTTCAACCATGCTTTGCAGAGTTATGTGGTGACCTTTGATTTGGATGGATTTTTTTTTAAAGATTTTATTTACTTATTTGAGAGGCAAATTTACTGACAGGGAGAGACAGAGAAAGATCTTCCATCCATTGGTTTACTCCCAAAATTGCTGCAACGGCCAGAGCTGGGCTGATCCAGAGCCAGGAGACAGGAGTTTCTGGGTTTCTCACGTGGGTGCAGGGGCCCAAGCACTTGGACCATCTTCTACTGCTTTCCCAGGCCATAACAGAGAGTTGTATTGGAAGTGGAGCAGCCAGGACTTGAACCCGTACCCATATGGGATGCCGGCACTGCAGGTGGAGGATTAACCTACTGCACCACAGCGCCAGCCCTGATTGGGAAGGATCTGAAAGGAGGAGGGGCAGCCACTTGGGCTGATGAAAAGCAAAATGGCTCCATCCCACCCGTTCACTCTTCCCGTATCTCCCCAGGGGCCTTGATCCATCTACTTCCTGTAGCCATCTTAGAGGGAGAGAAGACTGAAGCCAGACATAACTGATTTCAGATAATCAAGGGTGATCATGTGGCCATCGGAGCATTTTCTCTGTGCGAGCTCAGAGGGACAGTTAGAGTCAGGAGTAAATGACTGTGAAGAGGGCCTGCTGCTGTGGCGCAGTAGGTTAATCTTCCACCTGCAGTGCAGGCATCCCATATGGTCACCGGTTCTAGTCCTGGCTGCGGCTCTTCTGATCCAGCTCTCTGCTGTGGCCTAGGAAAGCAGAAAATGGCCCAAGCACTTGGGCCCCTGTACCTGTGTGGGAAACCCAGAAGAACCTTCTGGCTCTGGATCTGCTCAGCTCTGGCCATTGCAGCCATTTGGGAAGTGAACAGTAGATGGGAGATCTCTTTCTGTTTCTACCTCTCACTGTATCTCTACCTCTCAAATAAATAAATAAAATCTTTTTTTAAAAAAAGGTATGGAGGTCATATCAGGAGGAGGGGGCCTATCAGGGCTGCTGAGGTACTGTCCTGCAAGGAGGTAACCCTGCCCCATGTGTGGCTCTGATATCTGGCTCTCAGAGGAGGTGGAGAAGGGGTTAAGAGACAAGATGGCAGGGCAGATGAGTTTAAAGATTGTTCCCATTGTTAACTGAAACACAAACACAAAATGTCAGGAGATGAGTCCAGGGAGGAAATTTCAAACATTAAATTTATTAAAAATCATTATGTCTCATTCATTACATTAGATGCTCCTTTTGTAAAACTTTAAACTCATCCAGAATGTCTGGCTCTGATCGTAGATAATTAAGAGGCAGTTTTGACAGAATATCCCTGAGAATGTCCCACTTTTATGACTTCTGTGCATTTTTAAGACTTATATATATCATTAAGAGGCTCGTGTTGGCATAGCAGATTAAGCCACCAATCGCACATCCCATATCAGTGCTGGTTTGAGTCCTGTCTCTGTTTCCAATTCAGCTTCCTGCTAATTGCACCTGAGCAGAGAGCAGATGGCTGGCCCAATTACTTGGGTTCCTGCAACCCACATGGGAGACTGGAACAGAGTTCCTGGTTCCTGGCTTTAGCCTTGCCCAGACCTGGCTGTTGCAGTTATTTGGGGAGTGAACTAAGGATGGAAGGTCATTCTTGTCTGTTGATCTGCCTTTTAAATCTTTAAAAAAAAAGCTATCATTTAATGAGGGTTTTCCGTGTGGCGGCCTCTATGCTAAATATTAAATTTTTTCTTTTTTTTTTTAAGATGTATTTATTTGACAGAGTTATAGAGAGGCAGGGAGAGACACAGAGATCTTCCATCTGCTGGTTCATTCCCTAAATGACTGCAGTGGCTGGGCTGATCTGAAGCTAGGAGCCAGGAGCTTCTTCTGGAACTCCCACATGGGTGCAGGGGCCCAAGGACTTGGGCTGCCTTCCATTGCTTTCCCAGGTGCATTAGCAGGGAGCTGGATCAGAAGTGGAACAGCAGGTACTGGAACTGGTACACATATGGGATGCTGGTACTGCATACGGTGGCTTAACCCACTGTGCCATAATACCAGCCACAAGTGTAAGCTGCCCCTTTGCTGACTTCCTACTTCTGAAAGACCTGCTTTGCTTCTAGCTCACCAGAATCCATCTGCTATCAGTAGCCTGAGTTTATCAATTCTCTTATAGGATAGCAGATGTTCACAATACACCGTGAATATATTTATTTACACTTTTTTTTTTTTTTTTTTAATTTATTTGACAGGTAGAGTTATAGACAGAGAGAGAGAAAGAGAAAGGTCTTCCTTCCATTGGTTCACTCCCCAAATGGCCGCTACGGCCGTCGCTGTGCCAATCCAAAGCCAGGAGCCAGGTGCTTCCTCCTGGTCTCCCAGGCAGGTGCAGGGCCCAAGCACTTGGGCCATCCTCCACTGCCCTCCTGGGCCACAGCAGAGAGCTGGACGGGAAGAGGAGCAACCGGGACTAGAACCTGGCACCCATATGGGATGCTGGCGCTACAAGGTGGAGGATTAACCGAAAGCCACGGCGCCAGCCCTATTCACACTTTTAACTTTTTCAATGCTCCCTCACGTTCATTCATTCCATTTTGTAGTCATTTTCTAGCACTGCAGTCTTGTCTTCCCTGCTTGATTAATTGTAAACTGACGGTAAACACTGCATTTTTTTTTTTTTTTAAGATTTATTCATTGTATTTGAAAGGTAGCATTACAGAAAGAGGAAGAGACAGAGATTTTCATCTGCTGGTTTACTCCCCAAATGGCCACAACAGCTGGGGCTAGCCAGGCTGAAGCCAGGAGCTGGGAGCTTCTTCCAGATCTCCCACGTGGGTGCAGGGGCTCACGGACTTGGGCCATCTGCTGCTGCTTTCCCAGGTGCATCAGCAGGGAGCTGGAGCAGAAGTAGAGCTATGGGGACTCGGAACCAGCTCCCATATGGTATGCCAGCGTTGCAAGCAATGGCGTAACCTGTGCCACAGCACCGGCCCCTACACTGAATTTTTCATTGTTCGTATGGATTATCAATTTAATGGTTTATTTTTAAAAAGATTTATTTACTTATTTGAAAAGCAGAATTTCAGAGGGAGAGATCTTTCATCTGCTGGTTTACTCAACAGATAGCTGCAATGGCTGGAGAAGGCCAAGCTCAAGCCAGGAGCCAGGAACTCCATCCCAGCCTCTCTCATGGGTGGCAGGGACCCAAGTGCTTGGGCCATCTTCCACTGCCTTCCTCGGCGTATCAGCAGGAAGCTGGATTGGGAAGCATAGTAGCTGTGCTCAATCTAGCACTTGCATAAGGGATGCCAGCCTTGCAGGTAGCACTTTAACACACTGTGCCACAACACCAGCCCGAGCCCCTGATTTTTAGACTTTATTATGGTTTGAAAGTATAACTGTGCAACCATCTGTTTGTCAGTATACAATAAATTACAGGAGATATTCACCGCCTTATTATAAAAAAGGTTTTATGTGATGATTGTGCCCAACTGTAGGCTAACATAAGTCTTCTGTTTGTGTTTAAAGTGAGCTGGGCCAAGCTATGATGTTCATTAGATTCTGTGTTTTTGAGTTTATTAGGCAGAGACAGATACAGAGAGAAATCCCCCACTAGTTTACTCCCCCAAATGCTTGCAACAGCTGGGGCTGGAGCAGCCCAGAGCCTGGAACTCAATCTGGGTCTCCTGTGTGGGTGGCAGGACTCCAAGTACTTGAGCCGTCACCTGCTGCCTCTTAGAATGCACATTAGCAGGAAGTTGGAATTGGATGAAGAACCAGGACTCAAACTCAGGCACTCCAGTACAGGTCGTGGGCATCTCACGGAGCATCTGAACCACTGTGCCTTATCCATTGCAGCAAACACCTGCTCTGGTCATATGTATTAAATGCATTTTTTTTTTTTTCAGATTTATTTGAAAGAGTTACAGAGAGAAGGAGAGATGGAGAGATCTTCTCTCTGTGGATTCACTCCCCAAATAGCTGTAACTGCTAGGGTTGTGCCAGGCTGAAGCTATGAACCAGAAGCTTCTTTGTGGTCTCCCATGTGGGTGCAGGGGCCCAGGGACTTGGATGCTCTACTGCTTTCCCAAATGCACCAGCAGGGAACCAGATTGGAAGTGAATCAGCTGGGACTCGAACCAGTGCCCATATGGGATGCTGTCACTGCAGGTTTTGGCTAGACCCACTGCGCCATACATAGCGCTGGCCCCTTAAATACATTTTTAACTTACACGATTTCTTAGGCTTGCAGTTGGTTTATCGGGACATAACCTCACTATAAGTCGAAGCATCTGTAGTAATATTTCTTTTATGATTGAATGAGAATTGTATTTGCTCATGTAAGTCTTAACAGTCTCAGGATGTGGGAGATGTTTCTGGGATAGATGGGATCCTCACTTTTGAAAGTAAAAATAGGGGCTGGCGCCGTGGCGCAGCGGGTTAAAGGCCTGATCTGGAGCGCCGGCATCCCTTATGGGCGCTGATTCTAGTCCTGGCTGCTCTACTTCCAATCCAGCTCTCTGCTATGGCCTGGGAGGGCAGTGGAGGATGGCCCAAGTCCTTGGGCCCCTGCACCTGCATGGGAGACCCGGAGGAAGCTCCTGGCTTTGGATCAGCACAGCTCCGGCCATTGTGGCCACCTGGGGACCAGTGGGTGGAAGACCTCTCTGTAACTCTTTCAAATAAATAAATTTTTTTTTTTTTTTTTAAAGATGGGGGCCAGCACTGTGGTATAGCAGGTAAAGCCACCGCCAGCAGTGCTGGCATCCCATATGTGTGCCAGTTTGTGTCACGGCTGCTCCATTTCCAATCTAGCTCCTTGCTAATGCACTTGGGAAAGCAGCGGAGTATGGCCCAAGTCCTTGGGCCCTGCACCCATGTAGGAGACCTGGAAGAAGCTCCTGGCTTTGGATTGGCTTAGCTCTGGTCTTTGTGGCCATTTGGGGAGTGAACCAGCAGGTGGAAGACATGTCTGTCTGTCTGTCTGTCTCTCTCTCTTTCCCTACCTCTCTGTAACTGTTTCAAATAAATAAATAAACCTTAAAAAAAAATAAAGATAAAAGGGCTGGTGCCATCGTGTAGTAGGCTAAGCCTCCACCTGCAGCGCTGGCATCCCATATGGGTGCTGGTTCAAGTCCTGGTTGCTCCACTTCTTTTTTTTTTTTAATTTTTTTATTTTTTGACAGGCAGAGTGGACAGTGAGAGAGAGAGACAGAGAGAAAGGTCTTCCTTTGCCATTGGTTCACCCTCCAATGGCCGCCGCGGCCGGCACGCTGCGGCCGGCGCACCGCGCTGATTCGATGGCAGGAGCCAGGAGCCAGGTGCTTTTTCCTGGTCTCCCATGGGGTGCAGGGCCCAAGCACCTGGGCCATCCTCCACTGCACTCCTTGGCCACAGCAGAGGGCTGGCCTGGAAGAGGGGCAACCGGGACAGAATCTGGCGCCCCGACCGGGACTAGAACCCGGTGTGCCGGTGCCGCTAGGCGGAGGATTAGCCTAGTGAGCCGTGGCGCGGCGGTTGCTCCACTTCTGAACCAGCTCACTGCTGTGGCCAAGAGCTTGGGCCCCTATACTTGTGAGGAAGACCCGGAAGAAGCTCCTGGCTTCAGATAGGCCCAGCTCTGGCCATTGTGGCCATTTGCAAAGTGAACTAGTGGATGGAAGACCTCTCTCCCTGTCTGTAACTCTGCCTCTCAAATACATAAATTAAAAAAATAAATAAAGATGCAGATGTGGCTGGGCTAAGCCCACCTCAACCCTTGCCTCCCTTGGCGTAGGTCTGTGGATGGCTTGCTGAATGCCCGTAAGAGGAATGCCCATGTGCCCCTCTGGAACTATGCAGTGCTGCGAGGCCAGGTACGGGGTTTCAGGGCCGAGGGAGGAGCCACTGTGAACAGCATGGCCGTCCGCTGCTAGGCTGCACTCTCGTCGGCCTCCCAGGGTCTTCTCTTTTTTCCCTTTGCTAGAAAGCAAGTCTGGCTTTTTCCCAATCTCCTAATCTCTGCGTTCTCTCGCCTTGCCACAGAAAGAGTAGAGCTTTGTTCCTGCTAGATGAGACTCCTCATGAGAGAAAGGACCATGTCTGTGCTTCGTGATGCCTTTCTTGGTGCCTAATGCTGTGTCTGGCACCCAGAGGATGTCAATAAATGCATGTTGGTTAAGTGAATATTGGAAATGAATGAACAGAATGGATCTGTACTTCCCTGGGCTCTGGACTGAGATTAGAGTTTATATCATTCTTGATATCTGTAGAAGAAAACAAGATTGTTTTTGTTTGAACATTGCTGCTGCATTTTGTGTTTTCAGATCTTCATTGTATACTTCATTGCGGGTGTGAAAAAGCTGGATGCAGACTGGGTTGAAGGCTATTCCATGGAACACCTGTCCCGACACTGGCTCTTCAGTCCCTTCAAGTGAGTGGCAGTCAGGATAGAGGCCTCGTTGTGGCCCAGGTGCAGAGCAGGTGCCCTGTCTGCCTCAGGTGTGCAGTAATGCCTGCTGTCCCTAGTTTGCCTGAATTTGCCGCTGGCCTTCCTCTGCTCACTGATCTCCCTTTTCAGCAGAGGCAGAGTCAAGGATATTAAAAGATTGAGGCCTGCTTGCCCCTGAGATACTGATGGTCAGGTGGGCAAGAAGGAAAAAATTCAGAGGGAAAGGAAACGCCATAACTAGGTGACTTGGTGCATGAGCTAGCGCCCCCTGGTGGTTGCCTGGGGTAGTGTCTGTGTCCTTTCTCTGCCTCTGGCCTCTCCTGGGGTTCTTCAGTCAAGATGATGAGAAGATAGGCAGCCACTGTTTCTGCTCTCAGAAAACCATTATTGACTACAGAACAGAGCTTTGCCTCTCAGATTTCACTCTTCCTCCTATTTCTTCTTTTTTTTTCTTTTTTTTTTTTTTAAAGGAATACAAACTTCATTTATTTCATAACTACAACTTTAGGAACACGGTGATTCTTCCCACCTTACCCGCCCTCCCACCCTCTTTTTCCTCCCTCTCCTATTCCCATTCTTATTTTTTCACTAATACCTATTTTCAGTTGATTTTATATACATATGATTAACTCTGTGTAAAGTAAAAAGTTCAACAAATAGTATGATAGTATGGGGAAAAAACTGTTCCTCAACAGCTCAGACAAGAGCAGTTCAAAGTCATTGCTTCTCACAGTGTCAGTTTCACTTCCATAGATGACCTTTTAGGAGCTCTGTTAGTTATCACAGGTCAGGGAGAACATACGGCATTTGTCCTTTTGGGACTGGCTTATTTCACTAAGTATGATGTTTTCCAGCTTCATTTTGTTGCAAACAACTGGCTTTTTTTTTTTTTTTAACCACTGTGTAGTATTCCATGGTGTACATATCGCATAATTTCTTTTTTTTAGAAAGCTTTTATTTAATAAATATAAATTTCATAGGTGCATATTTTGGATTATAGCAGTTCTTTCCCCCAAACCTGCCTTCCCACCTCCATTCCTGTCCCACCTCCTACTCCCTCTCCCATCCCATTCTTCATTAAGATTCATTTTTAATTATCTTTGTATACAGAAGATCAATTCTGTACTAAGTAAAGATTTCAGCAGTTTTCACCCACACAGATACACAAAGTATAAAGTACTGTTTGAAGACTAGTTTTACTGATATTCTCATACTCATTAAAGACAGAGGTCCTACTTGGGGAGCAAGTGCACAGTGACTCCTGTTGTTGATTTAACAATTGACATTTATGATGTCAGTGATCACTTGTCATGAGCTGCCAAGGCTATGGAAGCCTCTTGAGTCCACAGACTCCAACATTATTTAGACAAGGCTATAACCAAAGTGGAAATTCTCTCCTCCCTTCAGAGAAAAGTATCCCCTCCTTTGATGGCACTTTCTTTCCACTGGGATCTCACAGAGCTCTTTCATGTAGGTCATTTTTTGCCACAGTGTCTTGGCTTTCCATGCCTGAAATGCTCTCATGGGGTTTTTCTCCAGATCCAAATGCCTTAAAGGCTGATTCTGAGGCCAGAGTTCTGTTTAGGGCGTTTGTCATTCTACGCGGCTCTGAGGCCTGCTTCCCATGTTGGAACATTCTCTCCTTTTTAATTCCATCTATTGTTATTACCATACACTTGATCTTATTTATGTAATCCCTTTGACACTTAATCCTATCTTTATGATCAGCTATGCACTTAAAATGATCACTTTAACTAGTAAGGTGGCATTGGTACCTGCCAACTTAATGGGATTTGGAGTCCCATGGCAAGTTTTTAGCTTTACCCTTTGGGGTAAGTCCGAGGGAACATGTGCCGAACTGTATATCTCCTCCCTTTTATTTTTAACAGGGATCAATTTTCAATTGGATTTAAACACCTGAGAATTCTGTGTTAAGAGTTCAATCAATGGTATTTTTTTTTAAATAGATTTTTTTTAAATGTATTTGTTTATTTGAAAGTCAGAATTACACAGAGAGAGGAGAGAGAGAGATAGATATCCTCCATCCAGTGGTTCACTCCCCAACTGGCCACAATGGCCGGAGCTGTGCCAACCTGAAGCCAGGATCCAGGAGCTTCTTCCAGGTCTCCCACGTGGGTGCAGGGACCCAAGGACTTGGGCCATCTTCCACTGCTTTCCCAGGCCATAGCAGGGAGCTGGATCTGAAGTGGAGCAGCCAGGTCTTGAACTGGCGCCCATTTGGGATGATGGCGCTTCAGGCCAGGGCGTTAACCTGCTGTGCCACAGTGCTGGCCCCTCAACCAATAGTATTAAGTAGAAAAAGAAAATACTAAGAAGAATAAAATAGTAAGCTGTTCCTCGACAGTCAGGACAAGGGCTGATCGAGGCATTGCTTCTCGTAGTGTCAGTTTTCAGTTTCACTTCTGCAGGTTTCCTTTTAGGTGCTCAGTTAGTTGTCACAGATCAGGGAGAACATGTTTGTCCCTTTGAGATTGGCTTATTTCACTCAGGATGATGTTTTCCAGATTCCTCCATTTTGTTGCAAATGTCTGTATTTCATTTTTTTTTAACCACTGTGTAGTGTTCCATAGAGTACATATCCCATAATTTCTTTATCCAGTCTTCCGTTGACGGGCATTTAGGTTGATTCCATGTCTTAGCTATTGTGAATTGAGCTGCAATAAACATGGAGGTGCAGATAGCTCTTTTATTTGCCGATTTAATTTCCCTTGGGTAAATTCCAGGGAATGGGATGGCTGGGTCGTATGGTAGGGCTATATTCAGATTTCTGAGGTGTCTCCAAACTGTCTTCCATAGCTTTACCAGTTTGCATTCCCACCAACAGTAGATTAGTGTGCTTTTTTCTCCACATCCTCACCAGCATTTGTTATTTGTTGATTTCTATATGAAAGCTGTTCTAACCAGGGTGAGGTGAAACCTCATTGTGGTTTTGATTTGCATTACCCTGATGGCTAGTAATCCTGAACATTTTTTCATGTGTCTGTCGGCCATTTGGATTTCCTTTTTTGAAAAATGTCAGTTTAAGTTGTTGGGCCATCTCTTAAATGAGTTGTTTATTTTGTTGTTGTGGAGTTTCTTGGTCTCTTTGTAGGTTCTGGTTATTAATCCTTTATCAGTTGCATAGTTTGCAAGTGATTTCTCCCATTCTGTCGGTTGCCTCTGCACTTCCCTGAGTGTTTCTTTTGCAGTATAGAAACTTCTCAATTTGATGTAATCCCAGTTGTTAATTTTGGCTTTGGCTGCCTGTGCCTCTGGGGTCTTTTCCAAGAAGTCTTTGCCTTTGCGATATCTTGCAGGGTTTCTCCAATATTCTCTAATAATTTGATGATGTTGGGTTGTAGATTTAGTCCTGGGCCGGTGCTGTGACATAGTGGGTAAAGCCGCCGCCTGCAGTGCCGACATGCCATATGGGTTCTGGTTCATGTTGCGGCTGTTCCACTTCCAGTCCAGCTCTCTGCTCTGGCCTGGGAATGCAGTGGAAGATGGCCCAAGTCCTTGGGCCCCTGCACCCACATGGGAGACCTGGAAGAAGCTCCTGGCTCCTGGCTCCTGGCTCCTGGCTTCAGGTTGGCACAGCTCCGGCTGTTGTGTCCAACTGAGGAGTGAACCAGTGGATGGAAGACCTTTCTCTCTGTCTCTACCTCTCTCTGTAACTCAGTCTTTCAAATAAATAAAATAAATCTTTAAAAAAAATTCTCTGCCACTGCATTGTCTGTGTACACAAAGGCTGTTGATCTTTGTGTATTGATTTTATATCCTGCTACTTTACCAAACTCTTCTGTGAGTTCCAGTAGTCTCTTAATGAAGTTCTTTGGATCCTCTTTATAAAGAATGTCATCTGCCTTTAGAGATAGTTTGACTTCTGCCTTCTCAATTTGTATCCCTTTGATTTCTATTTCTTGCCTAGTGGCTCTGGCTAAAACTTTCAGAACTATATTGAATAACAATGGTGAGAGTGGGCATACCTGTCTGGTGCCTTTCCAATGTCTTGATGTTTAGGCACCAATTGCCAAAAACTTTCCTCTGAACACTGTTTTTGTTTGTGTTGTCATCTTCATTTGTTTTCAGAAAGTTTTTCTCTCTTGATTTCTATGACCCACTGTTCATTCAGGAGTATGTTGTTCAGTTTCCATGTGTTTGCATATACTCTAGAGATTCCTGAGTTGCTGATTTCCAGCTTCATTCCATTTTTTGTGGTCCAAGAAGATGCATGGTATGATTTTGATTTTTTTTGAATTTGCTGATACTTGCTTTATGGCCTAGTAGGTGATCAATCCTAGAGAAGATTCCATGTACTGCTGAGAAGAATGGTGTATTATGCAGCTGTAGGATGAAAAGTTCTGTAGATATCTGTTAGATCCATTTGGTTTAAAGTGTCAGTTAAATCTGCTGTTTCATTGCTGATTTCCTGTCTGGTTGATCTGTCCATTGCTGAAAGTAGAGTATTGAAGTCCCCAACTACTATCATATTGGAGTCTAAGTCTCCCTTTAAATCCCTTAGCATTTCTTTTAAATAGCCAGGTGCCCTGTAATTAGGTGCATATGGGATTATAGTAGTTACATCTTCCTGTTACATAGTGCCCTTCTTTGTCTCTTGTAACAGTTTTTGTATTAAAGTTTATTTTGTCTGATATTAGGATGGCTACCCCAGCTCTTTTTTGGTTTCCATTAGTATGGAATATCTTTCCATCCTTTCACTTTCAGTCTGCCTGCATCTTTGTTGGTGAGATTGTTTCTTGTAGATAACAAATAGATGGGTTTTGTTTTTTAATCCATTCAGCCAGTCTGTGCCCAGTTGAGGCAATTTACATTCTATTTTTTTTATTTTTTATTTTTATTTATTTTTTGACAGGCAGAGTTAGACAGTGAGAGAGACAGAGAGAAAGGTCTTCCTTCCATTGGTTCACCCCTCAAATGGCTGCTACAGCTGGTGCGCTGCACCGGATCCAAAGCCAGGAGCC